GATATAGATATAGATATAGATATAGATATAGATATAGCTTCTATGTTCCATATGTACAGGATACTTTAGAGTGATAAATTACAGAAGTCTTATAGTATGAAAAAATGTAGGCACAAATACTTTAAAAATATTTCCTTGCAACTTGTGAAAAGCTACAAGTGTAAATGCCATCCAAATGTCTTATGAAACTTATGAGGTTGCAGACTTTCAAATACAAAACTTAAGAATAGTACGACGACTGAACTTATGTTGTAGGCAGAATTTAAGTTGTGCTTGAATCCACAATATAGGAGCAAAAGTACAAGAAAATCTCAAAAAGAATGTTTTAAGTTACATTCTACAAGTATAAGAGCCTAATAAGGCAGAGAATACATCTCTAGAACATATCAGTGAAAAGTAAAAGCATTACCACTTTAAATAATCCTTAGCCTTACTCTAAAAGCATGGAAAAATATCAAAGCTACTAAAAAGTAATAATATTTAAATTAAAATGCAATACTTAATCTCTAAGCATATTAATAACACAGAGAAAAATAATACATGCTCATCCCAGCCAATATAAATAGTCTATGGAGGAAAATCCTGTTGATTGTTATTATCACCATCTGGAAATGAAACTTGTGCTGCAACATGACTTGTTCTTTGATGTCTGGTGCCCGAAATGGTGTGGAGATGTGATTAATGCTTTGTGTATCCTATCTCCACATATTTATAATTCTTTAAGTTGTATTCACTTCCTTCCTGTCTGTAAGCATTCTGTCCTAGAAGTCCAGCAAAAGAAATTTACTGTAAAAAATGAAAAATTATATTGTACCCACAATCTTTCTAATTCTAGAAGTCTGCAATTTCATATTTGACTAGCTGTCATTATTTACATTTATGTTATTGTTTTGATTATCGATTTTTGAAAGCTTTTAGAAATTCAGTAACCTGTAATTCTAAAAGTTTAGGCCAGAGGTCTGAAAACTATGGCCCACGGGCCACATCTGGCCCACCTTGCCTTTTTATCTGGCCTGGGCCTAGGAAGAGGAGGGAAGGGGGACCCAAGCGATCCCCCACCCCCACTGTACCATTGGACTGGCAAACATCATTTTTATATGAACAACTCCATTCAACTCATTACACTATCACATCCTTTAGTTACTTCCACGGTAAACTGGCAGACATGAATGAAATTCTTCAAAGCACTATTTTCATATAATTGACCTTCTTCTCATGATTAGCTGGAAATTTGTGTTGTTTTGAACAGCAGTTGATTGTTTAGAAATGTATTGTAAACCATAGTTCCAAGCCATACTTTTAAATGTACTTTCATTTTCATGGCAACCTTTTCTAGATGCCCTTTAATCATTTTTAACACAAAATAAACACAAACTTTCAAATGTTGACAACCTATCTCTGTATCAGTGACATCCACTTTTTAAAAAAATATTTTCCTTTTAAAAAATCAGATTAACTTTTACTTCTACAGACATCCATTTCTTCCACTGTGCATGTGCTGTTCTATTGGTTAGTTCGACTTTTGAAAGGTTTCTCAAAGGGCCAGCTGACATGGAGATACATCTGTGTTGCAGTTAGCTATACTGTACAAAGAATGGATTATTTATTTGTTCACCACACATCCATGTTGTAAGCCAGCCTTCCCAAACCTGACTCCCTCCAGATACTGGTGGACAAGAGTATACACAATTCTCAGGCAACAGAGACAGGCTTTGTTATCTAGGGATATTGAAGAGGAGATGAGAGTGGAGCACGCTGTTCTATATCATTCAGCCACACCACTAAAAAGTTGCAAAAGAAGGACTGGTAAATAACTGAGGTAGTTCTGGGTGTGTGCCAAAGCAAATACACATGGCTTGTCTACACAGGCTCTTTTGTGAGTCAGTTGGGAATGGATGGAGGTCTGGTATGCCATTTGGTGTGATCTTCAGATCAAAATGGCATAATGGACCTCATGCGATTCTGTTTGGTTCAGCTCCTCCTGTTGGGAATTTCCCATAAATTAAACACTTCCTGTGGTCTGCAAGGGGGGCAGAGGAAGTGAATTTTTTTTTACTGTATTTAGGCAGTGCTGATGCACTGCATCACTTACTATTTTTTAACAAAGAACTTTCTTTCTGAAGCAGCAATCTTCTTAGGCCACTTCACGATATAGGGAATTGGGAATGAGCCTTAACAGTCTCAACCCCGCTTTGGTTCATTCCATGTATTGGAAACAAACCTTATCTTGCCTGCACCAAAAAAAAAGCCTCTGACAGGGCCAGGAAAGTTATGGGTAAGAACGTTTTGGGGATGGGCTGGTTTGCTCCAAGAATTATGTGTGTGATCACTGGAAAAAAAGAGTAAACCAGCCCATCCCTGCAGCAGACTTAATGCCCATCTGATTGCACCCAGTTCCTTCTGAACCTTTCAGTTTATGTCCACACTATATATATTTTTTATTCTATTAATTGTTCCAAAGTCACAAACCTAAATACATGCCCGCTGTCCCAGGAGACGCATGAGTCATTGCATTAATTTTTCTGCTGTTAGCTTGGACAATTGTCTTGCTTGCAGGGAAAGGCTTGCTCGAAACTTTGCTTTTCTTGGCGAATAACTGATTTCAGATAATTACATTTTGCATGTTCCATTTTATTGCATGCAAGGATAATGTTCTGCTTTATAGGGTGAATCAGTCGTGTGCACATTATCTGTTGATGCAGTTAAGCACAGTTGTATAAATTTACACTGTTTCACTCTTTAGTAATAAGAATTTTTGTCTCCTGGATTATATATTGTTGGTAATGTTAAAAGAATGACAGGAAGAAAACAGGATTAACAGGATAAATTTGTAGAACTGGCAGTCATGTTCTGCATTCTTTTAGCCTCTTCTTTTTTGTTCACTTCCTACTAGTGATGGCTGTATATTACAATGTGAGGACATTTTTCTTTTCCTGCTAAACAAGTAACATGAAATGCTTTTCTTCTGCAGATGTGGAAGCAAAACCAGAAAACAGAAATTCAAAAAGCAGGTCTAGGGAGCAACAAAGCTCCTAATTCTGTTACCCCCACTACATGAGATGTGGGCCAAGTGGTGAGTTTTCTGCCCAAAACGTAAATGAGATTGTTTTCATTTACAGAGGGGAAAAATAAACTAACATTTGCAAATGAGGACAAGTGCATAGTGCATTAACAGTTGTCAGTATCGTTTGCATCAAATGACTACTTATCTTGCTTACTACTCAAGCCAAAACAGAGTGTGACACATAATTTTCTCTTGTCTGGGCAAGGAGTGTTCATTTTAAAAAACAAAACTGCTCTTTCGCTATAATTGCAGTGTATACATGAGCAAGTTACAATTGTTTTATTCTTATTTGCTTTGTGTCTCCCCTGTGACTTTATAGCTGTAATGCGTAGACAGCTCTTATTTACCTTTGTGCCTAAAGAAGCAGCTGTTTTGGGTTACCCAAAGATTTCAATAGGCCGTTTCCATGGGATTTGATTTAAGTATTATAAGAAGAAGAAAATATGAGAATGGTTGTTATGTTTAAAATGAGAAAATGATACATAAATAGGGTTTCAGGTACTCTGCAGTTATCATGCCCAGTTAATACAGATTATGTGCCAAAAAAAACTTGGATTTTAAAAATGGCTACATTAAACAAAATGTTTATGTGGCACACATTGTTATTGTTTTGCACAATTTCTTCTGCTCTTGCTAGATATGGTGTGGAGCATAAACATAGCAGGGCATTTCCTGATTGCTGCGTATATTCAAATATCCTTCCACAGGTCCTGAGAAACATATTTTCAAACATCTGTGTTTTCATTCTAGGGACTAGAGACTTGAATTTAAAAAAAAAATTCAAGAAGCAGAATTTTCCCCACACTACCACCACTTGTGTTTTTTATATACTTTCACAAAGCTGTGGCATATGTACAACTCTGTGACTGGTAAACATTATGCAAAAAGAGTGAAAGATCTGGGGGGGAATCCTATACACAATTGCTTCAGAAGAAGAGGCAGTGAATACACTGGGAGTTGCTTCTGAGTAATGATACTCAGGATCACTCTGGTGCCTAGAGGATGCCGCTATATTTGGTCTTGGCATTCTGTCCCCTTTCTTCTTATCATTGCTTAAATCATATCTGCTGTATCCTGATAGCTCTTGTAGTAACTTTACATTTGATATCTCTTCTGAATCTTTTATACTTATCTTACATTTTCTTTCTTCTCTTTCTGCTTTTCACTTAAACACAGAGAGAAAAGTGTCCTTCAGTATTTCAGTATGAAGCCTTTATTTCTGAAGTAACCAGGCATCCGGCTATAGGAACTGTGGGTTTTTTGTTTTGTTTTTTATTTTAAATTCAAAGTTTTTACAGGTCTACACGAATAGAGCAGTCAAGAAATATACATCTTTCCTTGAATCAAGGAACTGTACTGGCATCTGCTGATTTTTTTTAAAAAAAGACAAACTATATTGCACATTGCACTGTTAAGATCTACTGAATAAAGGACAATTTTCATCTCTCCTAAGGACCAAGGGTTGTGTGACCTCAAGAATTACTCCAGGAACTCAGTTACTGCTTTCTTCATTCCTTTGTGAACATAGTCACTGATTGCTTACTGCTTCTGCTAATATTTAGTTCTGTAAATCTGAAATGGAAGACGGCTGTAGTTTCTTGTGGGATTTGTTGTAAATACAGGTACAAAACAAAAAAAAGAGTCCTGCAAATTTATTGGCACTTCACAACCTTATTGGGTTTGCATTATTTGCATGGTGGTGTTCTTTGCAAAATGAGACTCTGCTGATTATTTTGATGCATATACTGTATTGGGAAGAAATGATTTAGGTACCTGAAAACGTAACTGAACAGTTTAATCCACACTCCATGTTAATTCACCCTTTTAATGTATTTTCTCCACAAGAAATAATACATTTTCCAAAAAAAGAATTTGGCAAGAAAATTATGAAAGAAATATTTCTAAAACTTTCTTTGTCCAGCACAATCAGTTTGTGTTTTCAGCATTTTCTGAATAAAAATGTGTTTCATAAAATATTTTGTATTTTAATATATATATATATATTTGGTCATGGCTGATTATGGTTTAGACAAAAGTTCGATGGGGAAAGACCAGTGCGAAAAAGGCCAGAGTCAGCATTCCTTTTATTAAGGTTCTTAGTAATAAGAAACCCTGGTTTTGTTCATTTATAATTTTATATGCATTAATGTTGGTACTTTTAAAGTATTTGTATGCATTTGTTGTCTTTATCTCTTGCAAAGAGCACAAGAAAATAGCTTTGGTTAATCCTTGGAAGTGTACATGTTTTCCCAGTATGTATTACATTTTAAAGTGTATATTCTTGCAAGCTACCAAATGTTTAAGTATTTCCTCAACATCAAACTCAACCATTTAACATCATAGATTAAAAATTTGTGTGGCTCTGTAAACACCTAACACACAAGTATTTTTAACCTTATCAGTGATCACTTTTCTCCCATTCAGTCTATTCACAAGTAATGTTGCAAGTGTGTACAGAATTGGAGCCACTACCTATGTTCACATACTTCAAAGTGTGTTCCTGCCCAAGCAATAACAGATCAAACTGTTAGCACCAGCACTGATACAGTACCACTTTCCTAGGATTTTTTATCCTAGGCTTTTACCTACCATTCCAGAGGGACTATTTGCAATATTGTTGCAGTGTCTCTCTAGCTGCATCCTACAATTTGTTCTGCACATCTGCCATCTGAACGGGAAGATAAGATTGTTACCCTAATAATTTCTGCCCATCAATTTGCATGAATGCCTAATACAACTATATTTGAGGTTTTGCCAGAATAAAGGTTAAACATATAATTTTGGCAGTGTGAGGCTCTCCTTAATTTTAATCTGGTTGTAACAGGAGAAAGTTGATATTAGGCATGTGAATTTCATAGAATAAATTCACTTACTCAGCTGTTAGACAACAGATTATGTTGTGTAACTCACACATATCTACTTCTTACCCAGCTCTAGCAGTGTGTATATGGCATAAGATACATGAAGCTGATATGCAGAGCCAGGAGGTTGCTTTTTGGACTACTATCACTGCATATACTGGCTGGGGAATTCTTAATATCGTAGTTCAAAAATTTAACTTTTCCAAGCTTTGTTCCCTAGTACAGTAGTTACTTCAAGTAAATAGGTTCTCACCAAAGAAATCCAAAGTAGACAACATGATTGCAAGTAGCCAATTTGGAGAGGATCTTCAGAAAGTATATAAAACACTAAATAATCTTTCCTTAGCTTCATTCCAGGTATTTTGGATTACAACTTTGATCATCCTGAACACGATGATGTTGTAGGTCAGCATGAAGTTGGGGGATACTGCTATAAATTTCAAATGTATAACCAAATAACTTAATTACAGTGGAAAAAAAGACAAAACTAGATTTACATACATGCAACTGGGCTGTCAGGAGGTGACTTCTTTGCCTCCTTCTTCCCAGAACAGCAATTCCTGGCTGCTCAAAGTGTTGCACACACACACACACACCGAAGGTCAGGAGATGCTGCTGAATGTAGTAACTGTGAGAAGGGGAGAGTCTTGAAAATTGGATTGAGCCCTTCTACTAGCAGAAGGCAGATCCTAGATTTGAGAAATTGGAATGAGAAAGGCACTTATAGAGGGGAACAACCATGACGTAAACTGAATCTGTTACATAAAGAGAAAGGTAATACATAATTTCCTAAGGCCTGGACTCCCTAATTTTAAGAATTCTCAGAATTAAGGGCTGCAAACCTTTCATATGATGCCAGCCCTACCAAAATCAGAAAATCTTGTTATCAGATCCCCTAACATCACTTTGTCTGTTTGTAAGCTTGTTTTAGCCAGAAATTAGTCTGTCGTGGCAAAAGTTTCAAGCTGAGATTGGCTAAGAACTGGATCATGGTATTGCTGGGGCTGTTCAGTATGGTGTGGTATTTGTTTGCAGCCACTTGCTACATGGATCTTTTCAGTTCTGCTTCATGGGGAGGAATGTAGAATAGCTGATAATAATGTAAAGATGACAAAAAAGATGATACTGTGAACAAAACAGTCAGAGCCCATATCATAGTATCAAGTGAGTTGAACTAGAGTTTTTAAAAAGTGTCTTGTGCAATCAAAGGCTCTTACCTGGCTCTAGAAAGTCATCAAACTGCCAGGTGTCTCTGCCACCCTTGAAAAGCATTCAGTTTTCATTTACACATCATCCCATCTTTAGATACCATTCTCCTAGTGTCCAAAGATTTGAGGTGGCATGGGGAAGATATGGGAAGAATTATCTTAATTGTTGGATTCTTTCATGATTCTGAGCGTGGGTGCATACGGTCCTATAGATTGGCTTGTTCTGTATGAACTTCCTCAGATTTTGGTTCTGGTTTTGTTGTTGTTGTTTAAAGTTTTCAGAAACAATGTGCTTGTTTTACATTCAGCAATCCTATGATTGACCATACCTATTTTCTTAAGAGTTGCACCTTCTTCATCTTTGCACTTGTTTTATATTTCCTGTGTCTTTTTACTAAGGAATTTGTTTCGCAGGCTCAGTACTTTTCTGTTGTCAACCATGTGAACATCATCTACTCGGAACTTCTCTCCAGCCTGCATTTGTTCCAAGTGGGAGGAGGAATGTGCAGGAGCATCATGTTATTTGCATGACCCTTGCTCAGGAGAAGTTGGTTGTGGATCATGCCTTTTCAAGTATACCTATTTTGGCGATAGTCTGAGTTTAGTAAGATTTTGTTGTGTATGTCTGTGTGTGCCTCCTTTGTTTGTTCTTTTAAAAATAGAATAATTCAGTGTTAAGAATGAAATACAATCTTCCCTTAACAAACCTAACTCATGGGCCTTTCCAGGAGGGCAAGGCTTATAGGCCATAAGTAATTTATATTTGTAGCTCCTTCTTAGTAAACCTAATTACTTGTTACTTGTTAATCCGGATAGTTTTCTGCTCACAGTTTAATAGAAAAACAGCGCCTGGATTTTGTGCAGGAAAACCAAAGCCCTGTCTATTTTCACCTGCCCTTTACAGAGTTTGCAGAGAAACATAATCAGTTTCTCTGACCTCTACAGACTCCATTTTTAAATTGGGTCAGAAAAATTGAAATTTAGACTATTCCCCTTATGTCTCACTTTTCATCACAGTCTACACATTTTATTAAAAACAGAACACTTTTTAAACCATTTGTAAAATCTGTAGCAGTGTTAAGAAATAACGTGTCATTGAAACCCCAGACTTTTAGAATGAAATGTAAGGGCTTCTTCACTGTACATGGAAATATTCAGCAGTCACAAAGTGGAAGCTGCAATACTGTCTTTCCATTCTACTGCTGCTGTTGCTAAGGTAACAATCGCCTTTTCCAGAATGCGTTTTTTAAAACGTGTTTTATATTCTGAGAAATGGTGCAGCTCCAGTAATGGGGCCAATGTAAGTTATCTGATGTAAATTCTTTTGTATTCTGTGTTGCTCAAACATTGTCAAGAATGGAACTGCCTTAAAGTGGGGAGTACCTGGGCATGACACAAACCTGTTTTACAGAAGTTGTTATTTAAAGCTGTAGTTTTCTTTTCTTATACCTATTAAGGATTTTTGTAATATTTGTCATTGTACACTACTTAATTATGTTATTAAATTTGCAAGCCAAATAATATGTCTACCTTCATTTTTCCCTCTCAGAATAAGCTTTTATTGGTCCTTCAGGGGATTAGGCGCCCATTTTAAGTACACAGTGTTAAACTCAAGAGGATTAAAATTAAATTACTAAGATTTGCTTAACCAGGAAGGTAAATAGTATTTATTTTCTTTATAGGTTCCATGCATCACAACTCTGATTGAGGTCTATATTCTTATCTAGCATGCTTCCTTGGGAGGGTCCTATTCTTAAACGCAGCTTTATAACAAACATTAAATAAAAAGAATCAAAGCTAGTAAAATATTTCTAGTGGCTCCCATTCAAAAAGGAAAAGGTAGGGCTGCAACAGGATGAATAATTGGCAATCAAGGCATGACTGAGGCATTGGAATATCATCCCTAGTAGAAAAGGTTAATTATTGGGAGGTTTATTTTCAGTTTGGACAATAGATTATTGTGATGGATGTGTGACTCATGAAATTATGTATGTTGTCGAGAAGGCAAACAACTCAAGAAATGCAGTTAAAAGCCAAAAATGAAATTGTGTTGACATATATAAATACTTCAAAATACGGTTGAAAGGACAGGTTTGTGCATAGCCATGCAAGAAAGACTAGACAGCTGGCACAAAATAGCTACCTTAAGATTAAATAAATATTCTTGGTGCATGCACATTGTACTGTGCTCTGAGTTCTATTTATAGCATGGAATTGTGGTCTTACATGTGCAAGTGTTTAAAAACAGAAATATTTGAAATACATGCTTATTGACTGAAATCCTATTGCACATGCAGAATGAGAGCATCAGCAGCAAATCACCACTAAATAAAGACTTGCTTTGGTATCAGTGGTTCATGCAGCTGATACACAGTGTAATGAAATCACATGTATTCCAAAATTGGCAAAAATAAGCCTTTAATCAATAGCAGCATGTCATTTCTTGGAATTATGGGGTAATCAGTGAAAGCAGTCAGTGAAGTGAATGAACAAACATTGTTCCCTAGGAGCTGAATGATACGCCATCCCTACTCAGTGCTGTCAAATTGTAGCTGAATAGTTTTGAAAGTGATGGGACGTGGTGGTGCTGTGGGTTAAACCGCAGAAGCCTCTGTGCTTCAGCAGTTGTAAGATCGAATCCATGCAACAGAGTGAGCTCTCGTCGCTTGTCCCAGCTCCTTCCACGCTAGCAGTTCGAAAGCATGTAAAAATGCAAGTAGATAAATAGGTACCACCATGGTGGGAAGGTAATGGCATTCTGTGTCTAGTCACGCTGGCCAGGTGACCAAGGAAACTGTCTGTGGAGAAATGCTGACTCTATGGCTTGGAAATAGGGATGAGCACCGCCCCCTAGAGTCAGACACAACAGAACTAAATGTTAAGTCCATTTACCTTTACCTAGCTTTGAAAGACAATTGGCCAAAATCATGGAGGGTAACATGAATAGATTACTAAACTCGCTACTAAACTCTGTTGACTCTGAACCAGAAGAACTGTGGAGTGAAACCAACAATATTATCAGGGGGAGAAAGAAAAAAAAAGACAACTCCTGCAGTAAAAAGAAAAGAGAAATCTAAATGGATAACAGAAGAAACACTTAAAATTGCAGAGGGCAGGTGAAAACCAAAATTAAAAGGTGACAGAAGCCGGGTCAGATCCCTGAATGCAATTTTCCCATGACTGTCAGAGAAGCAAAAACAACCAATGCAAAAAAATAGAGGACAACAAAAGAGAAAAAAACAAAATATCTCTTCTTGAAAATCCAAGAAATCAAAGGGAAATGCAAATATAGGTTAGGAGTGCTGAATGACCAACAGGGAAGCACACTGTCTGACCAGGAGAAAATAAAGAGAAGGTGGAAACAATATACTGAAGACTTACACAGAAGGGCCAAAAGCATGACAGACTCCTTTGAAGAAGAATCCTACGATGAAGAACATGCAGTTCTAGAAAGTGAAGTGAAACCTTCCCTGAAAGCATTAGAAAGAAAGGAATCACCTGGGGTAGATGGAATGCCAATAGAACTGTTTCAAGCCACATAGGTTGGATCTGTCAAAATCCTAATAAAAATGTGTCAATCAATATGGAAAACAAAGGAACAGCCCACAGATTAGCAATGCTGAATATGCATTCCAATCCCCAATAAAGGAGATGCCAGGGGGTGCAGTAACTATAGTCGTGTCCAGATCAGCCTCTAACCAGCTTAGGTTAATGGCCCAACTCCTCCCCTACCTAAATGAGAGCTCTCGTGGGACTTTTGTACAGGTCTTGGTCCTCTCTTGGATTGACTACTGCAATGTTCTCTGTGGGGAGCTTCTCTTGGGCCTGATCCGGAGACTGCAACAGATCCAGAATGTGGTACCCAGACTGTTGGTGGGTGTGAGCATAATTAACCATATCACTCTGGTGCTGGCTCGTCTTGGGACTGATCCGGAGACTGCAACGGATCCAGAATGTGGTACCCCAGACTGTTGGTGGGTGTGAGCAAAATTAACCATATCACTCTGGTGCTGGCTCGCCTTCACTGGTTGTCCGTTACAATCAGGTTCAAGGTTTTAATACTCATGTACAAAGCTCTCCATGGTTTTAGTCTGTGTTACTTGTCAGAGCGACTTTTCTTAATGTCACCTGCTTGACCCACAAGATCATCTTAGTTGATATTCCTCTGGGTGGCCACCCTGAGGGATGCCCATAAATCTTCTGCAAGAGGTAGGGCCTTCTTCATGGTCGCTCCAACCTTGTGGAACCACCTTCTGGAGGAGTTTCCCCTAGTCTTTTCCCTGTGGACATTTAGGAGGCAACAAAAGACGTAGCTTTTCAGCAAGGCTTTGCACACCAAACTTAGCTGATCGCTCATTCCTTTTTTTCCCCCTACTTCTGTTTGCTCTGGTTTTTACATGATTGCTCCTGCATCCTCTGCTTTTAACGGTTATTTGCACTCTGCTTTTACTTGTTTTTAATTTTAATCACTGTTTCTTTTGTATTTGTTGTAATCGCCCAAACTAGTGCTGAGGCACTAATGAGAGCAGGATATAAATTAAGGAAATCAATCAATCTAGGTCCATTGATTTAATTTCTCATGCAAGCAAAATGATGCTCAAGGTGTTGGGGGGGAAAAGGGCTTTTTTTACCTTAGATGGAGCAAGAAATGCCTGATATTCAAGATGGATTTTGAAAAGGAAAAGGCACTCAAGATCACATTGCAAATAGCTACCGGCTACTAGAGAGCACTGAAAAATTTCAGAAGATCATCAGCCTATCCTTGAAAGGCTACAGCAAATCTTTACATAAGAACACAAGAATCCTGCTGGATCAGGCCAAGGGCCCATCATAGTGGCCCCACCAGATGCCTCTGGGAGCACATGAGACAATGAGATCCCTGTCTCCTGATACCCCTCCCCTGCATCTGCCATTTGGAGGTCCCTTCCTTCTAAGCCTGGAGTTTGTACATCCCCATCATGGCTTGTAACCTGTGATGGACGTTTCCTCCAAAAACCTGTCCAATCTCATTTTAAAGGCATCTAGGCCAGATGCCATCACCACAACCTGTGGCAAGGAATTCCACAGACTAACAACATGCTGAGTAAAGTAAGATTTTATTCTGTCTCTCTCCCAACACTCAATTGGAGTGGATGTCCCCTGATTCTAGTATTGTGTGAAAGGGAAAGAAGCTTCCCTCTATCCACTTTATCCATGCCCTGCATAATTTTATACGTATCAATCATGTCCCCGCTCAGGCACCTTTTCTCTAGACTAAAGAGCCCCAAACACTGTAGCCTTTCCTCATAAAGGAGGTGCTCCAGTCCAGTCATCATTTTAGTCACTCTCTTCTGCACCTTTTCGTTCCAGAACTGTACGCAATACTCCAGGGGCCACCTTACTAGCGTTTTGTACAATGGCATTATAACGTTGATTGTTTTATTTTCAATCCCCTTTTTAACAACACCTAGCATGAAACTGGCCTTCTTCACTGCTGCCTTCTACTTCCCTTTTTAACAATACCTAGCATGGAACTGGCCTTCTTCACTGCTGCCTTCTACTGCGTAGATCATAAGAAACTATGGGTTGCTCTGAAAGAAATGGGTGTGCTTCAGCACTTGATTGTCCTAATATGTAACTTGTATTGTGGAGAACAAGCTACTAGGCCAGAATACGGAGAGATGGAATGGTTTCTCGTAGGCAAAGGTGTCAGACAAGGATGTATCTTATCCCCTTATCTGTTTAGTCTGTACACAGAGCATTTCATAAGCAGTAAAATAACTAACTGAATAGCTTGAACGTTATGTTGACACATGCCCCAAATAAATTCCCAGTTAGGGTAATTTTAAGTAAGAAAAACAGTTAAGAGTGATTGAGAATTTATTTAATTATACCTCACCTTTACCCCAAGATGGATTTTTTTAAAAGGCATTAAAAATGTGTGAGTGTTCTCACTGTGAGCCAGTATGGTACTGAGGTTAAGCTGTTGGTCTGGGAGTTCGAACAATCATGTTCTTAATTTCCAAGGGCTGTGAAATTCACTGGGTGATCTTAAACCAGTCACTTCCTTCACCTTGACCTACATTGCAGGTTTATTAGGAATATAAGGATGAAGAGAAGCAGAGCTTGAGTTGAAGTGGAAGAAATGCAGTATAGAGATACAGTTAACAAATAAAATGTGCCCAATATGCTACAGTATCACATATTAAAGTGTTAAAGAAAATGCAAAATGTATTAATAGGCCTTAATGCAGGCTTTGGTAATAGAGAAAATCTATTGAATCAGTTGGAATTTTAACACCTATTTTTCATGGATTCAAAGGGTTTGCTTAAGTTGAGTCTAACAATTAGAGTTAGATCACAGTTAATAATACCATCACTTACAATTCATCACCCCTTAATTAAAAAGTTAATTGCTAACTAAGTGTTCTGGAATCTAATTATTAAAATAATTTTTAAATCACTTTTTAAAACAAATTTAACAAATCAGGGATTACATATAAATTATTCCCACACTCTGGAAAAGGGCATTGTGGAGTTCTCATTGGAAACCAACAAGAAAGATATAGAAAGCTTTGCAAACTATATAGGGTGAAACCAACGATCCAAACTTTCTGTGACAACCAAAAAATCTACACAGGTCCAGTCCACCCATTAGGCAAAAATTCTGCTACACAGATGAGCAGAAGAAATAGGAAGCAACCCTAACAAATTTACTAAACATGATAAAAAGGGGAGGCAAAACAAATAGAGAGCAGAGCTTCACAACTGTGATGGGGAAGCTTTAGATTGTAATGGGTGGTTTACAGACTGGTCAAGGAAATGATGAATGGAATATAGAAGTAACATTGTAGTCAAACTGGGAGATGACTGTGTATTATAAATATATGGATGACACTTTCCTCCTTCAAAAAAACCGCAAAAAAACACGTTGGGATGTCTCTTTACATAATGCATGAAACTGTCCACAGAGCCTCCATATGAAGATTAATTCCAAACCTGTAGGACTAGGCAAGAGTTACACATACAAAATAGTCACAGAGTAATAGGTTGCAGTGAGTGCAATATACAAACACTGGGGTGTGATTTGGTCTTACTAATTAATGGCCCAATCTTTGTGTGTGAGAAGCTAATGATGTAATCAGCTCATGCCACTAAAGTTTATTTCAAATCAATCAAGTGTCTATCTATTCTCAAAGGCTTTCACGGCCGAGATCTGACGGTTGTTGTGGGTTTTTCGGGCTCTTTGGCCGTGTTCTGAAGGTTGTTCTTCCTGA